TTTTTTTTTTTTTTTTTTTGCACGCCTGGGTACCCCGGGCGTCAGACCCCCCCGGGCGTCACGCCCGGGTGCCCGGCCGGGCAGGACCGGCCGGGCGTGAGAATCTTCCTAGAAAAAAAACAAAAAAAAATCCCCCCCCCAAAGAAGCCCAATCATTTCATGACAGAAGGATCCCTACGGTTGCAAATCTTTCGGAACAGAATATGTATATAATGAAAGGGAAAAAGGAAAAAAAAAAAGAAAAGCATTGCAAACCTTTCAGGATGACATTTCCTTTTTTGTCTTCAGCCACAGACAAGCCACCTTCGTCCATTTTTTCGCCTGATGCCAAGAGGTCCAAAATGATCTCATTATAAAGCTCAATGTATGAGATGCGCACTGTCACAGTCATGGGCACTAGACGGGTTTTGATGTCGTGGAATATTTGTGAGATGACCCTTGGAATTATGCCTCTATGAGCATATGACTCCCTGCCACCCATCATGGTGAACGTCTTCCCGGCCCCCGTCTGCCCATATGCGAGGATTGTGCCATTATATCCCTGGTTTTCAGAAAGCAGTTCAAAGCACACAAAAGGTCCCAAAAAAAACACGCGGTTGGGCACAGTTATTTTATTTTTTTCCTTTTTGCGAGGAAATGAGGTGGTACACCCATGACCTGTTGAAATACAGACTCAAGTTCGAATCCGAACAATATCAGATGAACAGAGTATATAAAATCATTCTTTCTGAATTGCCCACCGGTATGGCCGGTCAGTTCAATGATGAAATTTCAAGGCCATCGCCCTTTTCCAAAAAAGGAGCAGAAGCAAATGACAGAGATCCAAATTATTACAGTCCTTCGGGACATTCGTCAAAATTGGAATGGTACAGAGAAAGAAGATCATCATCGCCCTTGCACAAGGATGACATGCATAAATCGAGAAATGGTCCAAATTCTAGGCTACCAGAGTGGCCCAGGACCACTTGCCCGGCCGGGCCACTCTCTCTGCCTACGGTTTACCGGGCAGTTCTGTTTGTGACGATATATATATATATGACGATATATATATATATATATCGTCAAATAGAACTGCCCGGTAAACCGTAGGCAGAGAGGGAGAAGAGGACAACAAACGAGGGGCTGTGACAAACTGTTTCGTCG